CCGCGGTGCCCCCCCGAATACCCCACCTCCGGCCGCCCCCCTGCCGCCCCAGGCCCCCGGCGCCTTTTCTCCCCAAATCACCGCCCCTCTGGAGCCCCCGACCCTGCTCGTCCGCTCCCTCCTCCCCAGCCACAAGCCCCCCGGCGCGGCGGTGGGAGGTCCCGGCTGTGCACCGCCCTCACCGCAGGTCTGACCCCCGTGCCGGAGGGATAAGCCCCCCCAGCAGTCCCGGTACCAAAGCTCCTCACCCTGGAGCGGCTTCCCGCCCCGTCGGGTAAGAAACGCCTGCAGAGACCAGGGAGCTGGAAAGGATCCCTTCAAGGGCGGATTTGCCCCCGGCTCCAGCAGGGAGTGGGGCATGCTGAGCTGCTCCCGGGGGTCCCTTCTGCCTCTCTGGTCCATGTGGGGCTCTCTGGCACTGGTCCTTGCCCAGACCCTGCTCCCATCCACCGGCCGTCGGGGCAGCTCCGCTGGCAGCCGGCAGCCTCCCGGGATTGTGCCCCGGCTCTGCTAAAGCTCTGCAGCTTGGGGAGCAGTGAAAAGTCTGTGCCTCGACCGGGGCGTGCAGGTCCCTGGCTGAGCCTGCAGGGACCCCCGTCTCCATCCCAGGGTCAGTGGACCTGCTGGCCCGATCGGGGATGAGCCTGCTCCAGTAGGAAGGTCGGTGTCCCCCACTTGTCCAGCCTGTCCCCGTGAGCTGGCAGGTGCCCACACTGAGTAAAGCTGCTGCAAGCCCCTGTCACCCCAAAGGATGGGCCTCTTCAGCTATCTCCCACCTGGCAGGAGCAGAGCAGGATGTGCAAGGAACGGGCTCTGCTACCACCCAGAATAGGGGTCTCAGGGTCCCTCTCGCATCTCAGTTTCCAGCTGAAGAAAGTCAAAGGCTTGTGGAGACAAGGACCCAAATGTCTCCAGAAATCTCCAAGAGGACATTTTATTTCATATCAAATTAATGTGCCTCCCCACACTTCAACCCTGGTGCTACTGGCTGGGTTTGTTGAGGCTGACCTGGGAGCATGGAGCATGAACCAAGGTGTTACTGCTCTGCTTTACAGTCCAGCAAGAGGAATTACTTGGTCACTGGTTCCAGACCAGGCAGACCTCTGGGCTGAACTGGGACTGCCCTCCCTGTCTGGTGCCTCCCTTCCTTTGTGCAGACCTCTGCAACCATATATCGCCTCCATCCTCTGCATCCTCCCCAAATCATGGTGCGCATGAATGACACCCATGAAGGACAAAGCCTTCATTTGTAGCCCAGGACACCCCCTGGGTTGGGTTGACCTGTGCTGCTTTTACAGCCGGCTTTTCCCCAGCTGCCTGACCTGAACAAAGCCAAGCCCCGCACTCCTGGGACCCTGTCTGTCTTCTAGCACTGGCGTTGCTCTGGGGTAACTGGTAGAGAGGATTCAGTCCCTGCTCTGGTTGAGACACTTTCCCTTGTTTTGGACACAGGACACAGCCTCCTGCCAAGGCCAACAGGAGGGATATGGACCCAAAAAGAGCAGATTGCCTCCAAGGGTCATGAGTCCCAGATATTCTCTCTTCATCATGTCCCTCTGCTAGCAGCTGAACCAACATCTCTTTCCTCCTGCAGTCAGAAAAGCAGAGCTGGTCCTGGGCATGGCAAACACCAGGGCATCAAACCTATCCTGTCCCTCTTGCCTGCCTTCAAGAGAGATTTCCTAAGGATGGTTTCTCCCAGTAACAGTAATTTCCCTGCTTGTCCCAGCTGTGCCAGTAGCAGGAAGCTGGGCTCTCCCAGTTTACTTGCACTGGAATAGACTTCTTTTGTAGCCCCCAAGCTCTCACCCTTGGCACAGCAAAACCCAGCTGCACCATGCTGCAGTGCCCAGCCCCAACCAACCTTGCAAAGGACCCCAACTCCCCAGCAGCTTGTCCCAGCTCCCACAGCCCAGGACAGAGCAGCCTGCTTGGGTGCCGCACCAGGGAGGAGAAGAGATGGAAATGGGAGGCAGCACTGGGTTATTTTGGATTCCCCATTGGATATTGAAAGCTGTTATCTATCGTCCAGTGCCACTTCACACAACAGACAAGTGTCCAGCCCGGCACTATTTTGCCATTCAGCTTCCCAAAGGGAAGGGGAGACTGGGAACCCCCATCACTCCTGAGTGGGGAGGAGTGGCAACCAGCTCCTTGAGATTCCACAGTTACGGATCAGCACTGATGTGCTGCAGGGTTCAGTTCAGCACCTGTATTTCCCAGGGTATAGCAGTGGGATGGAGTGCAGCCTTGGACCGCTGCATGGGATGGAAAGCTGTGCTACATTTCAGCACTGTTAGGTCCCATCTGTACACCAATGTGGAAATGGGAGATGTAGGACTTGCTACAGTGCAGGAACAACCTCCTTGATGAGTTCCCCATATTTCTTGTTTCCTGTCAACTTTGTGTGGGGCCAGCAGGACTCAGACACATTTAACAGGATTTTGCAGAGGTGCAGAGCTCAGTCTGAGATGAATGGGCTCTGGGTGAGCCAACAGGACTGTTTTTAGGAAGCTGGTATGGTCATGCTGGCATAAAATGGGGGAAGATATCAGACTCGAGTCCTTAAGGGGGTTTGGGAGGCTATTCTTGATGTCCTGCCCAAACCCAGACTGCTAAGTACCCCACTCTTCTCCAGCTACCTGCGGCCCCTCTGTGTATGATTCCAGCCCTACTAAAGACTTTCAGCCCAGAGCTGTTCCTTGCTAGCCCCTGTCTTCACCCACCCTTTGTTTTTCATTTTAATATCTATCCAAGGGGATGTGCAGGGCATCCTGCTGCAGAACAATAGTGCCCAGCAGGGCTGCGGGCTAGGAGAAGTGGTGCTGCAGTTTGATGTGTGAAAGTCTGTGAACAGTCTAGTTCCAGGCCAGGCCAGACGCTCAGCCACCTCAGGGATCCCTGGTCTTGACGGTCACTCTGGCTACTGTGGCTCTTCCAGACACATGGGGACAAAGTTTGGAAGACCAGGTTGGCTCTGACTCCATCCCTCAGTGCTGGAGCTGAGTGGCTGTCCCCCTTCTCCCAGCTCTGTCTGGGGGGAGGCTGGAGGAATTATACCAGTGTCCTCTAGCAACAGAAAAAAAATATTACTGCAGGCAAATAGCTTGGATTTGACCCACTGAATTTCAGATGCTTACTCAAGGAAGGGTGTGCTCATTTTCTGGTCCTGCGCCCCATCAGGAGATGACTTGGCTCCTGAGCCAGAGCAGCCTCAGGAAGGCTCTGATATCCACTTCGGCTATTTTTCCCCTCTTGGGATTCAAGCTGAGGTTGTGAGGCTGGTGGAGGCAGGACCAGAGCCAGGGCTTTGATGGGAACGTTCCCCTAGAAGCATCTCAGCCTGTTTAAAGGAGAGAAACTGAGTTCCCATCAGGTCTGAGCCTTGCTGATGGATAAAGTGTTGAATGTGCCAGAATTCTTTGTCATCTCAGGTAGTATTTGGGAGAATGACTCGGATGTTCTCCATCTGAAAAGTATTGACAGTTAATTTCAAGGAGAATCTAAAGGAAAAAAATACCATTTAAATGAAGATGAAAACATGTGTTTTGGTTCAGAAAACCCTCTTGTTCTGACCTGAAGGAACCAGCAATGAGGAAGTAGAGAAAGGGCGTCCATCTTCTCCATACATCTTCGGACTGTCTCTTGCTGAGTACTGCTGGGGAGGGGGTAAGGGCAGATCTCCAGATGTCCTCACGACTCTGGCACAGGCATGGAGCAGCGAATAAGTTGCAGATTGATTTAGCAGTTGCCCCTCCCCCAGCCCCTCTATGGGATCAGTGTGCTCTGAATTTTTTTACAGTCATTCCACAGCCAGATAAATCCATCATCCACTCGGCTGCGGCAAAGGCGATTCTGTTCCTTTCTTTCTGACGCAGCGCTGCGGGGCATGTGTCTTTGCAGACGATTGAATTGCATTGAATGCCTGTGACTGCTTCCTTACCCCCACATTTCCAGCTCACTCCACAGATCCAGAGCAGGCCAGCAATGCCCAGAACTGCTGCACAGGCTGCACGCTCAGTGCTGTGCCAGCAAAGCGTGCCCTCTGCTGTCACCACGGCCATAAGCCTGGCTCTGTTCACACCTCACCTCCCTGCTCATCACCTACAAAATGCTCTCCAGACCCTCTCAGCTCCGCTTTCACGAACAGGACAATTTTATCATGTATCACTACCTTGCCAGCAGGGAAATGCTCTTTTTCTTATATTCTAGCACTCAACCCAGTAGGGCCAAGCTGTGATCTGGGAGCCATGGCCATGGAATTCCTCAGTCTGGCTCTGGACATGTAGCTGGTGTGGGGCAGTGAGGAAGCTACCACAGCCCCACAGCTCTTGCAGCTTGGCAAAAACCTAGCAGAGCAGGTTTCTGCTTGGGGAGGGGTGATTCTGCCCTGGGA